GAGGGGGGTTTTGATAGCAGCCTTCAACTACCTGAAGGGGGGTTCCAAAGAGGATGGAGCTCGGCTGTTCTCGGTGGTGGCAGACGACTAGAACAAGGAGCAATGGTCTCAAGTTGCAGTGGGGGAGGTCCAGGTTGGATATCAGGAAAAACTATTTCACTAGGAGGGTGGTGAAACACTGGAATGCGTTACCTAGGGAGGTGGTGGAGTCTCCTTCCTTGGAGGTTTTTAAGGCCCGGCTTGACAAAGCCCTGGCTGGGATGATTTAGCTGGTCCTGCTTTGAGCAGGGGGTTGGACTAGATGACCTCTTGAGGTCCCTTCCAACTCTGATATTCTATGATTCTATGATTCTACTTTAGACAAGTTAAAGTTGGGCCATGGAATATAGTTCAGTGGCACATACCAAAATATATCACCACATAATTTATGACATATTTAATTGTTTCTTGTAATTTGAGTAATGTGAAAGACATAATAATGGCTGATTCATCATGTTGTTTTGTGATGTGCTGTCTAAAAACCAGAGATGTTTAAAAAGGATGTTATAATTAGAGCTGGTCAAGAACTTTTTGAAATGCTTTTAGTTGGAAAATGATGACTTGTCTAAATGAAAATTTTGAGGATATGTATTTTTAAATAAAACTTCCATTGGGAAGGTTTCTTTCACAATGGAATTTCTGATCAATTCCAGAATGAGTATATTCCTACCCCAGAATATCCAATAACGCAGTGGTTAGGGCACTTACCAGGGATATGCGGGAGACTCAGGTTTAAGTTCCTGCTCTGCCTGATTTAGATTAGGGACTTGAACATGTGTCTCCCACATCTCTGCTGAGTGCTCTAACCACTGGGCTATGGTTATTACTGGGTGGGATCTATGTTTTTCAATGAAAAACCTCAAAGGGTCTCAGTTTTATTCTGCATCAGACTGAAAACAAATGTCAAAACCAAGTTTTTTGCAAAATGGATTTTTGTTTTCTGGCCACCCTTAGTTATAATAGAATATTTTAGGTTTTCTTAGGCATTTATTTTACTATAGAGTCCAGAAATACTTCAGTTAAGCCTATTAGGCTTGAAGTAAATGTTCACTAAGTGAAATTTGCATGTGGTACTTCAAATACCAATTTTTAGGAAGGTGGTATATGAACCAGTAAAGTTTAGGAACCACTGATTTTCAACATTGAGTGACCTGAAGAGAATTTTTTAATGGCATTGCTGTTTACTTCATGATTAAAAGGGGAATGGAGAGAGTATTTTTTTAACCTAAGGAAGGTCTGTTTTTTCCTGGAGATCTCTGACAATGTGCACTGAAATCTCGCCTTCACATTGTTTCTGCCCACTGTTGATTAGTCATTAGAGTTAAAAAGTGCTTGCAAAAAAGCTATTTGAAAGTGAGACACAACACTGAGCAATTCAAAGG